TTGGAGGTGGGACTTCCTCGCCTTCATGAGTCGAGTCGTGAAATCGGACCTCGGACACAATACCTGCGAAATAAATTATGGGATCGCTGCGCGGTAGGTGTTTGCGATTATGTTCCCTTGGCCGTCCTGAGGGACAATTACATTGGCGTGTCTCGCTGTCAGTTCACAAACAAAGGACGTGCCTTGGAGGGTGTCAACCACATGTCCAGCCCGTCGAATCGGACGTGTGGATCATGAGACGTCATAAACGCGTTCAATGGGTTATGCACATCTAGATTGCGTAGAATGCTTTTGATCTCGATACCCGCGAAACGATCCAGAACGGCAGCAGCAGAAGAAGCCCACTGCAACTATTTGCATGTCGGTCTGTTAGATTATGGACAACGCAATAGCATACAAACGGACCTTGTCGTGCGCACTCCGAGTCATACCTCCCACATCTGCTGTGAGCGAGTGGCTGATGATATGCGCCACTTGCAGATCAACTGCACCCCCTGACGCACGTAGTGTCTGAAGGTCAACGGACACGACACCACCCAGTACGGAGTCCCCGTCGGGCTTATGTGTGAACACACAGCGGTATTTATCCCGACCCATCATCTGCACTCGTAGTCAGCGTCGGCGGCGCGGTACGTGTTCAATCCTTGTTGATCGTCCATTTCGTCGCGCGCCCACCCCGGGCCACCTGGAGGAATGCGCGACGGAAGGGGTGACCTACTCACAACATCCTTCAAATCTTGCGGGCTCACACCTGGTTCTACCCTAGTCCGGGCGTCGCCTTCCAAGGTCACATCGAACGATTGTCGAGGACTCGAATCGGCAGAGATCAGCGGCGTAGGGCCCTTTGGGTTTTTGACTGCCCAAGGGTTAATGAACATCGGATAATCAAGAAAAAAGAATGCTCGCCAATAGATGCGGATCAAGCCATAGATGTAGAGATGTGCAAGGCCGACGAGAACTTCTGGGTCATTGTGACGGTCTTGGACTTCACGAGCGACGCAGTCTCGACCCACGTCGCTGGGGGCGTAGATGAGAGCATATCCCAGAACTCGCCCGGCAACTCGAGGAATGGTGCAAAACATAGTCTCTTCAGACTGAGCGTTCTCGAGCAAAAATATTTCCCGGCTGTCGGCAGCCTCGATCCGCTTACAGGAATTGAAAGCGTCGTGCCAGTCTGTCTGAGTGGCTGGATGATAGGGGTTGTCTGGGTGAGGCGACGGTTTCCACTGGGTAGCCATTGCTGGGACAGAACTTGAAGATCAGAAGGTCAGAGGAGACGTGGTGGACATGTACATGATGTTTGGCTTAGGGACGAGCAACAAGCCAAATGTATGCTCACTTACTTATGTAGCGCGAGGGTGCGCAAGTTTTGTTGCCGATCGTGCGCGTGAGAAGAGACGTGGCCGCATTCGATGTGGGACAGGAGCGGGCGTCTGATATTGGGTGCTACATACCATGGTATGGCTACAACAGGAGCCCCTTGGACGCAAGCGAGCGAATCAAGACCTAGGGGAGGTGCAGCATCGGCGGGACGGGAAAGTGCTTGACAATGGCGGAGCACCGCGGTACAGGACCCAGAGCAAGGTCGTAGCGAATGAGACATGGTAAAATACACTGGCAACGGCCACGCTCAGGTATCATATCGAGGGCATACTCGTAGAGCTATCAGCGGTTCTTCCGCCACAACAATCGCGGAAAGTCAAAGAAGTTCTGTGACCGACTCAGCTCAGAAAGCCTCCGATACGTGCGCTGCTCGGCTGCTCCTCTGCCGCCGCACGCAGTAAGTATGTTCCTAACAGTCAAGGCCAGATTGCCGTTCAAGGGATACCCAATGTTGTAGGTTGCTCGCGTCGATGGGAGAATCCCTTCACGAACTCTACCATTTCCCAGTCGATAGCAGATAGATTTGAACCTAGTCTACCCCCAGCCGAGCATCACCGAACTTGACGCCTCATCGCAAACCTCGCTTGCTACGACCACCCTGGAGTCGCCCTCTCGGTACGCTTAGGCATTTCAGCCAACACATCAGCGCGATTAGATACATTGTAGCGCGATGTCACCGAGGATGCCCAGACGACATCATAGGCAGTAGCCATCTGCCTACGAAGCCGACCAAGACAACCACCGAGCCACCATGAAACCATACACAACAGCCAACGCGTCCAGTCCAGGTAGTTTGCCGTAGCCACCAGCGCCCAAACCTGAACATGACCAGAGACAGGAAAAGGAAGGCCGGGTCTAAGCACCTCACGCCGTCGATGCTTAGACCAGCCGCAGACGCTCCGCCTGCACTGCTAGGGTCGCCATCTCGCTTTGCATCTCCCACATCTTCGCAATCATCGTTTGTTGTTCGCCTACGTGTGCGTAGAGGCAGAACGCTAGGTCCGTGCTCTTCTCGACTTGCACATTCGACTCCGTCTTCTCGTCCGTCTTCTCCGCATGCGTCAAAAGGGCTTGAGTCTCGTTCCCGTCTTCGTCGTCGACCGCGTCCTCGAGAAGGAGCATGCGCTCCACTTCCTGCTCGTCCACCAGGTCTTGCT